GCCCCCAGCGCGCCCCCGGCGGCCGGGGCCGCAGCGTGCTCGCCCCCGCCGCCAGCTCGCTTCACTTATGGGTCGGAAGCGCTGCGTGGGGGAGACTGTTCCAAGATGGCGGCGGGTTGCTGTGGGGTGAAGAAACAGAAACTGTCCAGTTCGCCCCCCTCTGGCTCGGGTGGCGGTGGTGGCGCCTCCTCCTCCTCCCACTGCAGCGGAGAGAGCCAGTGTCGAGCCGGGGAGCTGGGACTAGGAGGCGCCGGTGCGAGGCTCAACGGGCTGGGAGGTCTAACCGGAGGAGGCAGCAGCGGTGGCTGTACCCTCTCGCCCCCCCAGGGCTGCGGTGGCGGCGGCGGCGGCGGCGGGGGGATCTCCCTCTCGCCACCTCTGAGCTGTGGAGTGGGGACCCTACTTTCTACCCCAGCCTCCGCCACCGCTTCCTCGCCCTCCTGCTCGTCCGCCGCCTCGTCCTCATCACCGGGCTCCCGGAAGATGGTGGTGTCAGCGGAGATGTGCTGCTTTTGCTTCGATGTGCTCTACTGTCACCTGTACGGATACCAGCAGCCCCGTACCCCCCGGTTCACCAACGAGCCCTAGTGAGTACCGTGCCCTCCGCCGCCCTCTCCCTTGCGCTCGGGATGGGGCTCAGAGTTGAGGCAAAGTGCGAGTCCGCCTCCCCGCCGCCGCGTGCCCCTAGCCCTCGCCCCGACCGGGTCTCCGGAGCCGCTGAGCCCGAGTCAGGGCGCCCCGCGCTTTCTGCCCCGCGAGGCAGGCACCCTAACTTGGAGTAGGGTGCTGCTACAGGAGATGGCCCCCTGGCTTCCAGAAGTGTTCGCTTTCTCTTTGCAGTAACTTCGAGGAGTTTTGACCCCTTCCTTTTCTCCCTGCCATCCCACTCAACCCCATGCTGCCCCGGCTGTGGAGCTGTGGATTGTTTAAGGTGCTGACCTCTCCTCACTTCGGTTTCCATTACCCCCTGTGAAAGCCCCGCCAGTATTCCCACTCTGTACCTGTGCATAGAGAGCTGCTCTCCCATTGCCTTGAAAAATAGCAACTATTCAACTTCTGTTCTGCTAGTGATGGAACTTGGCTCCGGAGCTTGAGAAGATTACCCATCTTTTTCTCCGGGGTTCCTTGTGCCCCGGGGACGGGGAAGGCTTTTAAAACACAGTTTCCCTTGCTACCTATTTTTATCCGAACATAGCCATTGAAATGTGTTTCTAGCGAAGCGAGTGCACCGCGGGTTTCTTCACATTTGAAGAGTGAGCTTTTTCCCCCTTATTTCTACTGTCTGGGTAATAGCTCATTCAGTGAGAGCTGTCCCCACAGAGCCTCTGTCAGTTTGTACTTTAAGTGTGCATTCGCTTTTGTGTTGATTTCACTTCTAAGAAATCTATGTTATACTCAATGACTTGAGAGATTAACTATCCGACAATGAATGTATAGGCATTTTTATGGTTTTCTTTGGATTTTGTACTTTAAATTATTTTATCCTTCAAATGTGTAGCTGAAATTATTTAAAATACCTCTGTTACAGCCAAAAGCCAAATTAATTCTTATTCCTGCCTGTTTGGATGTGTGGGAGATGGGCATATGGTTTTTTATAAAATGTGTAAGCTGAGTGTAAACTGACTTTTTGAGTTAAATGCTAGACAGAATGTAAAGACCAAGAGAGGGCAAAATGGGAAAAAGGGTGATTGTTTTTATTATGAGTACTTAGCATCAATAAGAAAAATAATAGAGAAAAAAATGAAGTGGAACTCAGTGAAAATCATCAACTTTTTTAGTTCGGACAAGTATCCCTGGTTTCTTATAAATACCTGAATTGATGTTTTGTTTAAATGCTTTCGTTTCATTTTGTGAGATTGGGGATTGAACTACTGGATAAGTATAAACAACTTCTGCCTAGACAAAAAATATTAAATTAATATGTAAAGTGGAAAATACAATAAAATGTCCTGGAAATTGTGTATTTGTATTGTTTGTTTTCTTTGACTTTGGTACCGTAAATGTTTTTATTTTCTATGACCCTTTTGTGGTCTGTGCATTTTTTTTCCAGACTTGGGCATTTTTGGGCATTGGTTCAGGACAAGGGTACAAAAAGGCACCTAGGCAGACACTTGTCAAAGAAATTGAATATCTTCATAAATTTCATAGTGTTAATTCTAGGACCTTAAATCCTAAGTCCACACTTTAGCCAATTTCTTTTTGATTAAGAAGTAAAATTCATTTTGGAAAGACTGCTATGTAAAAACAATCTGTGAAATATTTATTAGCTTGAGTCACTTGTGACTTTTCTGTCTCTTGTGTGTCTGTGATGTATTAAAGCTATGCTGGATGATACTTAAGTTGGCTCTGCAAAATCAGGGGACTGTAAAAATTCAATCCTGTTCAGTTCTTGAGCTGTTACATGAGTTTGTTGAAGGCTGTCCTAGTATTCACGCTCCATGGCTTCAAAGCATATGAGAACACACTTTCCAGAGGTGCTATTTTCACACATTTTAAAGTGAGTTTGGGTTAACTGAATGACTATAACAAGAATTTTAAGAGGAAAGCGAGCTTGACCAGTTCATATAGAAAAATGTTTTTGAAAATATCATTTTCACAGTGGCCACTTTACACACATACTCAGGTATTTGTTTCTCTGATACTTCAGCCACTGGATTTCTTTTTCAAGGGATCAAGCAGATGAATAACACACATTGTTGACTACTGTATGTTGAAATGGTGGTGGAAGAATAATAACTATTATCTTGTGGTAGGCCTTGAGTGTGTCGTGTCTTTTCCAGAATAGCAAATTTAGAGTGGACACTGAACGTGACCAAGCAGAGAATGAAAGTTCACTTAAGTGTAAAGGAGACTTTGTCTTATTTTTATTTATGTTTGTGTGCGTGCGTGTGGTAATGGGGATTGGACCTAGGGCCTTCACACTAAACTACATCCCCAGCCCTTTTAAAATTTTTATTTTGAGACAGGGTTTTGCTAAATCACTGCATTGTCCAGGCTGGGTTTAAGCTTGTCATCCTGTTGCCTCAGCATCCCAGAGTGCTGGGATTACAGGCATCAGTCACTATATTTCAGTTTCATTTTTCTTAAACTCATTTTTGTAGTATACTGTGTAAAAATCAGGAACATTTCTTGATTATGGCAGTGAGATGACTGCAGTCATTTAACAATATCTTAGTAACCACCACACATTTTTTTCTGTTTAATGTTTTCACTAGTATTGTGTGCTTATTAGTGTGGCATTGTTAGGTGTCATAAGACATCAATAGATGGCCAGAGTGGTGGTGCAGTTCTGTAGTCTCACCCCTCGAGGAAACTGAGTCAGGAGGATCACAAGTTTGTGCCCAGCCTGGGGAATGTAAAGACTTGTCAGACCCTGTCTGGAAAAAAAATTAAAAAGTGCTGGAGGGTGTAGTTCACTGACAAGGCCTTGCGTTCACTTCCCAGTACCACACACACACACACACACACACACACACACACACACAGAGATACACATAGTAGGCCTTTTTCTAGGAGTTATTAGTGTCATGTCATGAGCAGTGTGTTTGAGATCCTGTCTTTCCTCCAGAAAATGTTGTGTTTTTGACAGTTTCAAAGTCTCATATGTAAAAGCATGCTATTTTCATTTCTTTCCAAGACCTTTCTGTTAGAATATCAAACTGGTAAAATCTGCCTTTTATAAGTTTAGAGGTTACAGATTCATCATTTTACCCTTCTACTCTGAAAGATTATTAGAAATTTCAAGTCATCTATGTGATTCAATGTTGGAGGTAATGTCAACATATGAATGGGCCATATAGATATGATTCTTCATTGTTGCTGCTTTTTGAGTACCTACCCCATTGTAGAGAGCACATTTGTCCACAAAAATAAAGTTCAAAACGTGAGAACAACACAGTGTTATGGACCTTTTACTATTGAAATATCAGAGCTCTTGGATTTCTATGTGAAGGATCACTGATAGCCATTTTATAGGAACCTGTTTGTAACTATATAAAGATCCGGTGTGCTAGGTGGTGAGCCAGATTTCAAAGCTGGTTGTTTCCAACCTTGGTTGCATATTAGAGTCACTGGGAAGTTATTAAAAATAGGGATGCTTGGGTTCCAGGCCCAGAGATTCTGATTTAATTGATCTTGTAGGGACCTGGGAATCAGGATTATTAAAAGCTCTTTAATGTGTAGTTGGGGTGGAGAACCGGTGATTATCTTCTAGGTATTTCTCTTGAGATTCAAGTTAATTTTGTCCAGGGTGATGCCATGAAGTCTGTCCTTTATGAGCAGCATGGGTAATTTTGGTAAACAACTGATTTGGGAAATGCTTGCAATGTGGTCTACAGAAGACATCACCTGGGAACTTTTTAGAAATGTAGGCTCTCAAGCCTTCAGACCTGCTGAGTTAGAATATGCATTTTTAACAAGCTCCCCAGGTGAATTTTATGCACTTTAAAGTTTGAGGAGGCCTGGTTTTAAAATCTTAGTGTACCTAGTAATCTTCTATAGTGTCTGTTAAAACACAAATTGCTGGGCCCCATTCCCAGAGTTTCTGATTCAGTTGGTCTGGGGTGGGGCCGTGAATTTGCATGTCTAACAAGCTCTCTGGTGATGCTACTGTTCCCAGGGCCACATGTTGGGAAACAGTGGGTTAGAGAGAAGTGAGGACCTGAATAAGTGCTTGAGTGCCTGTCAGGGAATGTCAGTTTTGGCTGTCAGTTTCCAGCATAGAACTTCCTGCTACTGTATCTATTTTTTATCATGCTCATTACAACATAGTACCCAGGAAATTGAGTGGTGCCCACAGAATAAGAGCCTAAGGTTCTGGGCTTGGTTTCATTTCAGGGTTGGGAGTAGGGGATAGAGGATAGAGTGACTTGGAAAACTGTGGTGTGATGTTAAGTCATTTTTCAGGAATTATTTTTTATATCACTGGGCATGGTGGCACACACCTGTAATCCCAGCACTCGGGAGGCTGAGGCAGGAGGATCGTTGTGAGCTCGAGGCCAACCTGGGCTACAAAGTGAGTTCAAGGCCAGCCTGAACTGCATAGCAAGACCTTGTCTCAAAAATACCAAAAAAAAAAAAAAATTGTTTTTTATGAGAGGTGTATTTCGAGAGTCAAAACCGTCATAAATAGGACATCTTAAAGTGAGTTATATTGATTTAAATAAGTAAAGCCCCCTCTTGTTGTCATAAAAAATACTTTGAAGATTAGCTCACTAAAGCAGGTTGTGATAAAATTTTAAAAGCTTTATACTTATGCTTACCTGATTTCATTTTAAGAATTTCCCTCATTAATCAAGAAATACAAAAGGATCCCACTTAAGGCACTGGGATTGTTCAGTCTTACATCTTTAATGCTGTATTGCATGTCTGTTCCATGAAGTTTCTGTGTATGTACGTATGTATGTATGTACGTATGTATCACTTGAGTGTAGTGCTGGGGATTGCTAGAAAAGCATTCTACCACCAAGCTACATCCTTAGCCCCATTTTTATTTTTGAGACAGGGTCTTGCTGAGTTGCCCAGGCTGGGCTCAAACTTGGATCCTCCTTCCTCTATCTCCTGAGTAGGTAGGATTACAGGTCTGTGC